CCAAAACATCTGGAGAGGGGCCAAAACATCTGGAGAGGGGCCAAAACATCTGGAGAGGGGCCATGATACATGTACAGAGCTTCAAACATGCCATACTATTTGATCTAATTGAAGTTTCTTCTTTTTAACAAATTTGTATTTTTATTTTTGTTTTTAACAATATTTCATTATTTTTTCTCATTCTTGTTTTTGTTTATTGTTGAATTATTTAATGTAATGAAAGTTTCTTCCTCCTGAATGAACCGTTTCGTCGTTTTATCTTGTTTTTAATGATCGTATGAAGTCAGACTCTGTTCTGTTGTTCTGGTGCTTGTTCGTCTCTGCGTCTGTTTGCAGCAGCTGATGTTTAATTTAAACACATTTACCAAAATAAATTATTATAATCTAAAAAACTATTTTAAACTAATTATTATATAAAAAACAGTATTAAATCAAAATAAATGAAATGAAATAAATAAAAAAACATTCAGAAAGACAGAAAAACAATCAAATTAAAGATCTGCTGAATAAACAATGAAAGTAAAGTCAAACTGAACTTTATTGTCAATGTTTCTACAAACAGAAATAAATGTTGTTTCTACCACATTTATACAAAAATACATAGAAATATACAAATACAACATAGAGGTTGAGTCCAAATGAGTTTAGGAGCTCCAGAACGAACCACCAGCAGGTTTGATAAATGGGATTTCTCTCTGTCTTAGATTCCTGATGCCTGAATGTTCTGATTTCTGGCGACTCCGTCTGAGGTGCCGCAGCTCAACGACTTGTGACAGTCGAGTCGGCGAGTCCTCGGGGAGGCTCACCCCCGACACCCAGCCCGGCCCGGGGGAGGACGGAGGGGAGGCAGGGGGCGGAGGTCAGCGAGGAGACGGAGGCTGAGTCCTGATCCGAAGCCCGGAGCCTCCACAGTTCACTGGAATAAATAAAAAACAGGAATCAAACAGCTGAACGGATGATTAATGTTTAAATAAATGATCCACAGACACCTCCACCAGTCTCTGTTCCAGGCTGTAAATGTGATTATTTCTGCTGTTTGTGGAGCCTCCAGTGGACATTCAGGGAACTGCAGCGCTCGCGCTTTATTTTAATTAAAGGTGATTTCCGTCTCCTGAATGAACCCAGAAACATGGCGTGAATATGAGACACAACCTGGTTTGTACAACATCACATCTGGAATTTTATCTAGTTTTTTTTTTCCTTCTGGAGTTAAATCAGCTCCAAGTGGACGATCGAGGAATTGCAGTTTGTGGTTTTTCTTCATTTCTCAGGTTGCTGCTTGTGTTCGACATTTTATGCGCTTGTGAGGATTCAGAGACGCCTGCTTTAGCTCGTTCCAGCTGCCCAACGTCGGCCTCACTATAAAACAAAGATCACATCTACACCGATAATCTTTGTCTGAACTGCTGCCAGATCACAGCAGCAGAAACTTTGGACACTTTCACTTTTAGCACACTGGCCGGAAGTCTTTAAGCCTCGTAGGAGTCGTTGTCATGGCGCCCATTTAGTAGCTAAACCGCTACATGAACGTAATTAGAATGGCGCCTCCTCTGGGCTCCACCTGGTGGAACAACCAGGTACTGCAGCCGGATGCAGTACCTGGTTTCCGCAGGTATTTTGTATCACGTGACTCGGCTCAGGTAACATAAAGACTCGATGTGGACATCCGTAGACTATGACGACGTCCGAGCCTTGTCAGAGATAACCTGTTCACACACCTGCAGGTCACATGACCAGACGCAGGCGTCGGTTCAAACACCAATCAGGGATTCTGTATTTGTAGAAAAAAAGCACAAACTGTTTCTAAAAGATGCCTCCGGATCTGAGGCCACTTCAGAGACAGAATTTAATGTTTTAAAACAGTTTTAATGGTAATAATAATAATAAAGCCGTCAGCGTGAACTGGTGATGGAGCTGCTGAGCAACGTGACTGAAGACGAGGATTGGAGCTTCAGGGAGGATTTAAACATCAGCTCGTCCTGCAGCTGCTCAGTCTGAAGCCTCAACTTCTACATCAGCGGAGTCAGAGTCAGTCGGCAGCCGATGAGCAGCACAGAGGTTCGTACCACTTAATATTATTATCATTATTATTACTATCGTTATAGTAAAACGTGTTGTTTCCTCCTTTATCTGTTTCATTATGTGAAGTTAATGTCAGTGTTCATTATTATAAAATACTTCTCTTGCAGTCGCTTTATTTTATACAGGAATCATAACTGAACCTGTATTTCTGTATGTTTTACACATGGAAGTCTGTTTTAATGGCTTTTTATACGGAGAATAAAGATGAATTGAACGTTTTCTGTCTGTTATTGGAGCTTAGTTTGTTCCTTTCATGTTTAAGAGTTTATTTTCAACTCACAAATTAAAACTTACTGTATATATTTATTCACATTTTACATGTTTATGCCTTTAGACAGCCTTTTATATTGGTATTTAAACAGAGAATAATGTAGTATTTTATTTCTGTGTTACTGTAAATTTGCTGTGCTGGTTTATTATTTCAGGGTTTACACACAACTTAACACATGCTTTGCATTTAAAGAGAATTTTACTACTACTGGTACAGAAATACTGATGGATTTAATATATTATTACTGTGTTCCCTGAAGTTATTGTATTAATATAATAAATGTGAGAAGCTGCTGACTGTCATCATTTTATTAACATTTACACACATTTAACATGTTTTGTTTTTTCTTTACGACTGATTATTGAGTGAATATAAATAAATGCAACATGTTTTTACAGTTTCAATTGACGTTATAAATGACCGTATCATTACAACTGATTGATTGGTTATTGATCTCGGATCAGGAGATGGGCCTGATGAGTGGACTGAACCAGAACCCTTCTGGACCAAGCTGTGGTGGGTAAACAACAAATAAACAGGAAATAAACAACGACTACGTTCACTAAAGCAAACATATGTGTGCTTTAACTGTTGCAGGTAAAGTTCAGGTGTTCGACTGGTGTCCACCTGAGCAGCTGCAGTGTCTGCACCTGGCCAGCGGGGGGCGACACCACAGTGGCAACATCACGGCTACTGCTGCAGCTGTGAGTGTTTTCATCACACTGCACAAAGTCAGGCTTTGGTCTGGTTTAAGTTAGGTTTAGGCTAGGTTTAAATCAGGTGTGGGTTAGGTTAAAGTCAGGTTAAAGTCATGCCTAAGTCAAATATAAATTAGGTTTAGGTTAGATTAAAAGCAGGTTTAAGTTTGGTTAATGTTAGGTTAAAGTCATGTTTAAATTAGGTTTAGGGTTAACTTATGTCACATGAAGCTAGGTTTAGGTTGGGATAAGGTTTTAGATTGTTTTATAGTTAGAATAAGGTTAAAGTTAGATTGCGTTAAGCTTAAGTTTAGGTTACAATAAGGTTTTGTTAGCATTAGAATCGTTTGGTTAGTGACAGGTTACATTTGGATTATAATCAGGTTTTACCTGAATCAGGAAAAGGTTAGATTTATATTACGTCGAGGTTAAATTTAGGTTAGGAATAGGTTTTACTTGGGTTAGAATAAGCTTCGATTTATATCAAACTAAAGTTAGGGTTAGGATACGGTTTAATTAGTGTTAGAATAAGGTTAGGTTTATGTTATCTTAAGGTGATAAGACGGTTAAAGTCAGGTTTAGATTACAAGAAAGCTAGGATTGGTTAGGTTGGAAATAGGTTAAACTTGAGTAAAGATAAGGTTTGATTTAGGTTAGAATAAGGTTAGGATTAGGTTAAGTTTGAGTAAAGATAAGGTTTTATTCGGGTTAGAGTAAAGTTTGGTTTATGTAATGTTAAGGTTGATAACGTTTTATTTGTGTTGGACAAAGAGTTAAGTTCAAACTTGAGTTAGAATAGTTTTATGTTATGCGAACTGTGAGTGTAGGCTTGGATAAGGTTTGATTTAGGTTAGAATAAGGTTAGATTTACGTTACCTTAAGGTCAGGTTTAGGCAGTTTATAGAGTAACTAAGTACAAGTACTTCACTGGAGTATCTCCACATTTTTGCTTCTTTCTGCTTCCATCAGAGAACATTTCAGTTAAATATTCGACTTTTCGTTTCTGCTGCTTTTATCTGATTTATTCTAATTATAAAAACACAATCTGCACATAAATGATGACGTCATATCACAGATGATTAAAATTCAGAAGTGTGTAGTGTGTGTAGTTGTGTAGTTGTGTAGTTGTGTAGTGTGTGGTGTGTGTCGTTGTGCGTCCGAAGCCTCCTTACAGCCAATATGTCGTCCGTCTAACTGCATCCGTCCACGTTTCACCGCCGGCGGCCGCATGAGTCCGTCTCCACACTGCTGGGCGTCGAGGCCGCGAGCTGCTTTCACTTCCTGTTTCCATCAGCGAGCAGGACTGAACGGACGAATACATACATGAATAAATATGAGAATAAATATGAGATGAACGGATCTGAGCTGCTGCCCCTAGTGGACGGCCTGCAGACTGCAGCCTCCTGACTGAAAATAAACATTCAACATTTAAACAGATATTTAGTTTCATCGTTTTTTAAAATAGTTTTTCAGTGTTACAGTCCATCCATTCATTAATTCATGGATTTGTTCAGTTTGTTTTTTTAATTACAGATTTGTGTTTCTGTTTACGGTGTAAAAAAAAACTGTTTTAACGCTTAAGCTTAGTGTCATTTCATAGACTTTCCATAGAGATAAATTATTGACAGCATCCAGTAAAACCACATCGCTTAATCCTCACCAGGGTCATGGGGGGCGGAG